TTACAGAGTCTTACTAATGCTATCAAAGGACTACTATAAAAATTTCATGTCATTTTACTAAGTAGAACATTCTATACAAAAATGATAAGGAAGCAAGGCTTGAAATAGCATAAATGGAAAATCCTATTGAAAAGTGTCAAGCAACAGATTTCTTATTTTTCTTAACATCCATAAGGTACTAGGATTATCTCCAATAAATTTCATGAATTTTGGACTCATAATTAATTTATAAAAAATCATGCAAGGATGGACTAGCCATAAAAGGAAAAATCTATAACTATAATTATACACATGCACTGGTCCTCAAATTTTTACTAGAGTTCATATATGACAAGAATAGCCTACCACAAAAATTTCATAATTTTTGGAGCACAGAACTCTAGATATAAAATAAACAAATTTAAATACATTCAAAAGCACATTTCAAATCCTGATTTAAATCTCCAAATTTCTACTGTTGAAACCAAGAACATATTTTTATTAAATACTATACTTCCTAAGCAACACAATCATATTTATTTCACAATTTTAGGAGCTACCAAACTAAAGATACAAAAATAACAAAACACATGTGAATCTGCATTCAAACCTGAATGGATTTGAAATCTCGAAGTCATTGACACGCTGGACCCATCGGTCGTGAGACAAAAACAGAACACAACAATGGGCTGCTTTCGACGGACGCGCCAAAACTCGATGGCGGCAAGTTCGCCGGCGGTGACATCATCACTAGACCTTCTACTCGACCTAAGCGCGTCGATTGGTATATACTTGGTCGCCCTATCGTCGACACCGGCGGACGACGGCGGCGACCATGGCGGCTTCGGCGGCGGGGCGTCGGCGATGTACGCCGGTGGGGCTACGATGGCTCGACCTAGAGCTCGGACGAGCACCAATGGACTACAATGAACCCAGCGCGATCGCCTATCGCGTGGAATGGTAGACTACAACGGCGTGGCCCACGACGGCGGACACGGCGGTGAAGCTCCGGTGAGTTTTTGCTTTGCGGCAACGACGCTTACCGAACACGAATGGCGGGCACGGGAAGAAGCTACGGGTCTTTGGGGAGACGGTGGAGCTATGGCGGTGGTCTTTGGAGTGGCTAAGGCGCGATTTGTGCGCGCTGACTATGGTGATGGCGGAGCTGTGGAAATCTTCTTTGGCGCTGCTGCCGCGAGGCGGCGAAGGGACCGAGGCGAAGCAAATGGGTGCTTTCGGTGAAGCGGGCGGTATTTGGCGTGATGAAGGCGCGCGCGGTGGCGTCGTGGCTCTGCGGACAGACGGGCGGCGGCGACAGCGGCCGCTTTTTCCGCGCCACGCGCGGCGGCCAAAGGACGACGGCGGTCGGCCACCGACGCGTTGCGATTCGATTGATTCAGACCTTGAACGGACGCTCGACGGCGTGTTTTCTCGTTGATTTATCTGCAAATCCGTGGCTCCTTAGTACAAACCCCCTGAATAAATTTCGTAGACCTAAGTACCAGCTACAAATGTGGTTCAATGATCTCGTGCTAATTCGCAACCAAAACTGAGAAAAATCATCCCCAAAGTGAGCCTGTCAGTCGGTCGATGAACCTAGACTTAGAAAAAATGCTTAAGTGTTGAAATCAAGATTTTGCTGGTTTTTGTGGGACCCATTCAAGCATGTTAGAAGCTAAATCAGTCCATGACCCAAAAATAAAAGTTGTTCCTTATGTCAAACACTACAACTTTGCTTTAGTGAACTCCTCCATGCAAGGTCCATAACACCTAGTTCAACTTTAATCAAACATGTCACTTTGAAATCATGATACATACACAAACCATGGCTAAATGACCAAACTAGCCTTAGCACTAAATACCAAAGTTGTTCCTAATGATATCCTAAGCATGTTTAAACAATTTGCAAGGTCATTTAAGCATTTCATGTAGTAGTCACTCATATAGCTATCCAGGTCAACACATGTGATATTACTTAAGTGCTTGATCATGAAAGGTGACCTTCATGAACAAGGTTTCTTTTGTTAACCTAAGTGTAGCTAAAGTGTTTTAGTGACCAACATTACCCACTTGCATTCATTTGCACATGATCATAGGCATATGTTCCAAGAAACACGAGATAACAAGCAATGTTTCATATGTTTCGATCAAATGTTTCAATTGTAAGTGATGATTTATGAATGCTTGATGCTCATGCTCATGTTATGCGAGTCAAGTTATGCAAGGCTAACACCCGAGGTGTTACAGCCGAGGTCACGTGCTGGGTTGGCTGCGTCCGTGGGCCAACTCGGGGCGCTGACAAGGCGAGCGCGGGATGTGGCGCCAGCGGGGCTGTGGCTGCGAAGCAGGCCAGGCTGGAGCGGGGCACCGCGCGTGCGGGTTGGGTCGTGGCCTGGCTGGGCCGATTGTGTCCTGCGAGCGGCGAGGGCGCTGGGTGTGTCAGGCTGGGCTGCTTGCTACTGCTACTGCCCGCGTGGGCCGAGAAGAGAGGAAGGAAGGAGTGAACTGATTTGGAGAATAAAAGGAAAAACATTTTATTGATTCAAGGTAATTTTGCATGAATTCAAAAGAGAGTTCGGAGGAATTCAAAGCGGGTTGGAGGGAGAAAAAAAGGAAAAGGGAATCTCCCTTTTTATGCCCCTAGAAACTTGGATGAATTCAAAGAAATTGAAATGGATTCACAAGAGAGTTTGATGGGAGAAATGAAAAGAAAAATATTTTTTCCTTTTGAGACTCACGGAATTTTGTAAAGAATTCCAGAGGAGATTCGAGAGAATGAGAAGGAGATGAAAAGCAATCGCAAGGATTGAAAGGAGGTTGCTATGGATTTGTGCACTTCGATAAAAAATATAAACCAATTAAAGAACTCCGGCAAACTCCTAAAAACAATTATATATGAATGCAAGTTTGACCTAGCAACTATATGCTTCACACATTGCAGGGAAAAAAATAAAAAGTTTGGATTTTTGGCTTCTCGAAAAACCAAGATTATTACAGCTGCTTGGATGGTTGGGTTCGGTTGACAGAGGGTCTTGCTGAGGTTGCTCCATCAACGGAGGAGTTGGTCAGTGTGGTCCAAGGGTTCTTCTCGGAGGGGTGAGACTAGCTCATGCCCTTCTAAGAATAGCCTCTGGGGTGGCGGGCCTAGGATTTTAGTATAGGGTATGCCTATAAAAAAAGTTCTGATGCATTCAAAAAAAATCTCATTTAATTCGGTAAAACCATTTTCAAATCAGTAAAACCACATGCATCAATAATATGATAAGCCCTAAATTCAAAGATTAAGCTATAAACTACAATATAAAGTTATGTTGCATGCTATGTTGCTAAAATGATCTTACAATTTATCTGACCTTTTAGCCAACACGTTTTAAGGGGCATAAATGTCTCGACTATATCATTTTATTCACTACAAAGCAAATATGTCGTTTAATAAATATGACTAAACAATCATTCAAAAGATATCACCTATCTTATTTCAAGTTCATTTTTACTAAATGGATAGCAGCGTAGGAAATACCCTTTAATTATTTTAATCAGGCAGTTAGCATACAACCAGTAGGTAGCAACAGAACAGTTTGGGTGGATTAATTAATGACGTACGCATCGGGACCCTCCAAGGCCTAACTACGTGGACTAGAGCGGCGCGAGCGACGTGGACGAGTCCGCGAGTGGATGAGGACGAGCCGCAGGTCTGGAAGGAGAATGAGCAGTGAGATTTTTTTTTCTATAAACGCGGACGGACACAGGATCCGGATGGATAAGGACGCGTCCGTCCGTATCCAGACGCCCGCCCTGGACTATCACCGTTTTATTATTGGCATATATATAGATATATATGTATGCCAATATATATATATATAAATAAATTTAGATATATAGATTACAACGAATCTTCCACTGCTCGGCACATTCCTCCGCTCCGAATGCTAAACCGAGCACTAAAAAAAATCTATTTGGAACGGCAGGAATTTTACGGGTTCATTTTCACAGAGAAAAAGTACAGAAACGGGGAAAAATCCCGCATTCGGCCTAAACCGACCAGCCAAATAATACCGAGCACTCGAAAGAAAAGAGTAGGCCAGGCCCTTTCTCTCTCCCAACTGTTCGGCCGCTCTGCTCCCCTTCTCACTCGCCGCGCCCGCCGCTACCGCCAGCTCCGGCTCGTGCTCAGGGTCCGTCTGTCCAATGGATCCACACCTGCGTCAAGTCCAAGGTCCATTTCCGAGTCGGTAACCGCCTTCCGGCGCCCGCCATCCGCTGTCACACCCTGCTAGGGTTCCCGTCCAAGACAGATCCGTCGCCGCTTGTTGATACGCGTCTCCGGCCGCCGCGCCTCGAGCACACGGCTAGGCAGACAGCCGCTACCCCCTTGGCTCCTCACTACCTCGATCAGCAGTAAGCCCCGACAGCCCTTCTGCAGGACTGCAGTCTGCAGTTGTCAGGCAAGAGCCGCGCAGCTCTCCACTGCTCTTGGTCTCATCTCATCTAGTCATTGATGAAGTGGTGAGGTTCAATTTTAAACTTCTGCTACTTAGACACTGCCATTTACAGTTGAAGCATTTAGTTCAATTCCTAACAATTCCATTTTATGTTACTGCTGCTAGATAGTCGAGGTATTGGAAATATTGCATTGCTCTTTAGGAATATGGATTATTGCTTTTAAGGAAGAATGAAAATACTGTTGCCATTTTATGGGTACTGTTTCAGAATTGAACTTGATACATTTTGAGACCTTGTAAAGTCCACACCTCGTGCTTTTTTAATATGGATTATACTGAATTGGCAAATTTGTACTTGTATAACGTTTCTTGAGTATGGATTATACAAAATTGCATGTGAAACATTGCATAGGACTGCCCTATGTTAAAATCCTAGTTCTGCCACTATCGGTTACCAATGTTTGAGGCTTGATTCAGTATTCAGGTCGTGTATGCAAAGAATTTTAATCTTATATCTTTTCTGTTCTGACTGCTGTCTTGGTGGATCAGATCGCCAAACGAGAGCTGCAATCACTCAAGATGTCATCGTCTCAGGCAGCTGGGGGCAGCACATGGAAGTGCCGCCGCACCTTGGGCCCTGGATCTTGCTGGGTGTCACTGCCTGAAGATCTTATTCATATGGTGGCGTCGCGCCTGCTTGACTGTGACTTTCTGGACTACGTCCGCTTCCGAGCCGTCTGCACGAGCTGGCGGTCCAGCACCATCTCCCCAAGTGGCCGCGGGGTCACTGACCCGCGCTTCCACCCGCGCCGCTGGATGTTGCTTCCCGAGGGCCACTACCTGTACCCAGGCCACCCCAACCTGCATGGGTATGTCCACTTCCTCAACCTCGACACAGGGACCTTGGTCTGCGTCCAGATCCTGCTCCTAGGGGATCACTGTGCCATTGACTCAGTTGATGGCCTCCTGCTTCTGCTGCGGAACTCAGACCAGGAAGGCACCGTTTGCCTTCTCCACCCTTTCACCGGCGACATCACTGAGCTCCCACCCCTAGGGACCCTCCTCCCACAGCCACAGGTCGACTCTTGGCTACCCAACGGCCCTACACTACACAGGATAAGAAGACTTGTAAGATTTGTTTGTGCTTCTGTTTCCTTCAAAGCTGGAGCCATGACCATCATGCTTGCGCTTCATGACGTAGCGCGTGTAGCCTATGCTACCTCCCAGGATAGGCGATGGACCCTGTCAAGCTGGCAATGCCCTTTGATCTATTCACCATTGTCGTTCCAGGGAAAGCTATACATTTTTTGCGAAGTGTATACTCCCAGATTAGATGAAATGCACCAGGTCTTCCAGATTGACCCTCCCGAACAGGATGGGGCCGGTGCAGATCCTCAACTACAACCACCGAAGTTGATTGCCACAATCCCCACAGGCAAATTCATCCAGCCTGATGGTCTGGTACAATGTGGCACAGAGATCTTGGTGCTTGGACACAATGACCTTTTAGTGTCACAAATTTTAGTTTGCAAACTCGCAGACCTTGTGCTGGAAAGGTTTATCCCAGTAGACAACATTGGAGGCAATACCTTATGTCTTGGAGAAAGGAACCTAAGTGTCTCCTCTAAGATCCTGCCTACAGTCAAGGGTGACAATGTTGTCTACAAGCGTTCAAGACAACCCTATCTTGCACAGTACCACCTCAGTAGTGGCAGTTTGACACCAGCAATTGATAATTGCAGCCTGTATGGCCGTGCACCGGGACCAAGTAGCCTCATCCACTATATCTTCAGCTGCTGCACTCGTGATCTGTGGTATGTAAGTGTATTTAGTTTATTTTCTTTCTGCACTGTCTCTCCCTACCGTTACTTGTTTTGTTTTGGGCTACCTAGAAGATTGTTCCATTATGTGCTTGTAGGAACCGAGGACTACTATTCAGAAGAGCAAGGGATGCTGATGGATGGTTTGTGTAAGATGCAGAGCAAGTTCAATAATGAGGCTAGTCCTTCATCCCTTGTTTTCTATACCAACACATGGTTCATCAATCTTGGACTAGAATTCGCCAATACCCTCTTTATTATTATTTTTTAAATCACAGTACAACGTAGACACTCATACATGTACGTACACTCACCCCTATGAATGCACGCATACACAACCTACCCCTATGTCTCGAGATTGACAAAGTCACGACATGAGCCTCGCTGTCAATGAGTATGCTGCCTACCACTGAAAGAACAAGGCCGTTAAATCTTGGAATAAATCTAGGAAAATGCGAGCAATTGTCCCCCCCCCCAAGCAATTGCATTTTTCTAATGATGTCTATGGTTAGTACTTAGGAAGTATTAGAGATTTACACACAGAGATAACTTGAAAACTATTGGCCCCTCCTTGAATCCCCTTGAAAACCTGCCACTGCTCAAGTGTACTTTAACCTGGATGGGCAGGTTCCACCACAAGAAACCCAACCAGTTGAGCTGTGCTCAGTTTGCCAATACCCTCTTTATTTTAATCCTACATGCCAGTTCTTATGCTACTCGCAAGCCCTTGTTTTGTATGCAAATCCAATTCGCACAACCAATTAACTGTTTCATTCCTTTTTTTTTAATGTCACATTATGTTACTTTCAGATCTATTAGTTGAAATTTATGTCATTTATACAATTACACTGCAGCATTATATAACCCCTCTTCCAAACAAGCCTTTATAATGTGCATTACTGCATTTGCCTAGACATTTCCTTCACCAGACCTCACTTTGTGTGGGAGCTTTCCACCCTTGATTTTCTTACTGAATGCAGAATGGTTACAAAATTAATAAGATGCTATTGTGATGTTGTAAGGCGCTTCCTACATATAGATTTTGCCCATTTGCCTCATTACCTACTGTTTATGTGCTACCAGCCTACCATAGTAGAGGTGGATGCCTTAGTTTAGTGTAAGGTTGATAGGACTTGATGTCCTACCAGAGTTGCTGCGTAGGTTATAGGGGTGGAAGAGGGGAGGACGTGGTCTGTACTCTCGACGTCGGCGAGGGGCCGTGGCGGCGAGAGTGCGGCGGCTGCTGCTGCAGCCCTAGAACTCTCGTGGCGCTACAGTAGCGAGGGTACTGTTCATGCGAGGGAGAGAGAGGGCAGGGACGGCTGGCTCCCAGGGGAAGCCAGCAACTTAATTGTTGCTTCTTGCTTAATTCCAATCATCCCCGATTACAAGTATTTATCCTTCCCTATAGATGCTATAATTAAGAAACTATATCTCTCTCTAAGAAAATACCAAATAAGCGATAAATTGGGCCTCTAAGCCCCTTAACAGACCGGCCCCCTAGCCACTATTGGGCCTGCGCCTGGCATAGGGGATGCCGGTCATAACAAAGGTTCATGTGCGCAATGGCCTGCCCAGCCATGGGTTGTCCCAGAATAACCAATTATCAGGTGCCCCCTTTTCTTATTATCCTGAAACAATCGTTCACATTTGGATACCCTTGGATAACTGTATTCAACACAGAAGCAAAGCCCTACTCACATTACATCCAACTGCACCGTATCCCTGTATGCCATATTGTTGCCGCCCTTCCCAAGCTCTCTTCGTTGGCCTGCTTCACCCGTATGCTGGTTTGGTTGAACTTGCAGTGGTAGCAAGTTGAGTTCGGCAGGGTGAATGGTTGTCAGTGATCAGTAGCTAGTTTAACACACTGTTGGCTGTCTTCCACGTGGTGAGCTCCTGCTGGGTTTGAACGAGCACTAAGGATAATATCATGCAATGCAATCTGTTTAGATCAGAGTTTATTTTCTTTTTGTTGACACTCTGACTAGTGATTTCTACGTTTATGTAGTTTCGACCAAAGTAACTATGCGTTGGGATTTTTTTTTCATGACACTGGTGGCATGCTGCAAATCTACGTAATTGGTTTATATTAAAATGGTCGAAACTAGAAGTAATCCTAGAACCAGCTTATATTTTTTATTGATGATATGAAGTACTATGTTTGTGCTTTCTGTCAACAGTATTGATTCAATGGGTATAATCATGCATTTAACACAATATTCTTCTCATACCCCTTTTCCAGGCGTAAACCAACACCTGGCTACCAGTTTATACCAGCATACCAGTTTATAGCAGTATCAAAAGGATATGAGATTCCCAGTTGTTGACAAATATTATCATTGCTTATGCTATATGATTCACAGTACCTTGTTGTATTATGTTACTATTGTTCCTTACAAATCTTTATTAATGGGCTGTATTCTGGCACCACTAAATTGTTGTAATGTGGATCTTTACAGATTTACTAGTATACCTCTATCGGTAAAGTGCGATGTTTTGGTGGAAACTGAACACCATCTTCTTTTCAAATTCTGGCAAAGAAATGACAAGCTCTTACATTGCTTGTTCAGGGACGTTCTGTGGCACACTCTTCTGCTGATTTGGTGATCAGTAGGATCTTTGCTTGATTTAGGGGGTGTTTGGGACTGCTCCACAAACTCTGTTCCACAAACTCCACCGTGGAGCAGCTCCACAAAAAACTGGAGTTTGTGGAGTACCTCTTTAGGTGCTCTCACAACTCCACCCTTTTTCCTGGAGCAGAGTGCGTGGAGCTGAAACCGTTTGGCTAAAAAACGTGGAGCGGAGCTGAAAAACGTGGAGCGGAGCAGACCCAAACACGCCCTTACAGTGGTGGATAGCGGACTCGCGGTGTTATTCGTTGCAGACGTTACTGGGCTTGAAACATGACAGTCTTGTTTTGAATCAGCTGTGCTTTGACATGACATCAACCGCTCTGCATAGAAAGGCCACAGTGTGCACACTGCAGCGAGGCAATGACCGATTTAGATTGAGAGTAAATTATTTTTTTCTGTCATTTACTACTACAAAGTCACACTCCCTCCGGGTCCACAAGAAAATGCAATTCTGGTAAATGATGTTCAGTGCATATATTTCTAGTCCACAATAATAGTGTTTCTCGATTGACAGCAGCTAACCCTGGCTTTCGTCATTTCTGGTAAATGATGTTCAGTGCATATATTTCTAGCCTGTAATGGAATAGTTATGAAGCCTAGCATTTTGTCCATTATAATTATTTCCAAGCACTGATCCTAATAAACCGTGCCACAAAATATTTCATACAGACTTGTGTAGGCAGCTTTTCTACTGTTGTATCATCATCCAACATATGGATAAGTACAATATTTCACAATTCAAGTTCTAATTTACACGCCCCCCCCCAAACACACACCCACCCACCCCAAATGGCAACGTATCAGGTACAAATTAATCAATCTATGTAAATTTGGAAACTACCGATCAGGACAACTAGATGCTGATCTAGTGGATGGGGTGAGAGGTGGGATTTTTTTGCGTTTAAGCCCCCCACCCGTTGGACTTTTTTTTTTTCGCTGAAGCCTCCTCGTACCATCTATTGGATCAGTATCTAGTGGTCCTGATTGATGGTTTTTAAGTTTGCACAGATTGGTTGGTTTGTATCTGATATGTTGCCCAAATACAAAGGCTTAGATCAAAAGTTACGTCACTGTCAATTCCCTACATGTACGATGTGCATGATCCAACGTTTTTTATTCAATTCCTACGAGACTTCTACCATTCTTATCTTGACTCTGGTGACTGAGAGAAGGAATGGTCTTGATAAATTATCATCCAACTTCACTTTTCAAATTTTTTTTCAGAGGTTCTGAAAACTTTGCAAGAAAAAACACCAAATTCCTCAAATGGTATTCCCAGGTCACTCAAGTTATTATTCCTTACTACGGTTTTAAAGCACATCATAGGAATGTCAAGCAAAATTTGGGAGCATTATGACATGGATTACAAGTTAATATTCTTCGTCACTATGGTTTTTAAGCACATCCCGACGGATGTCAAGCAAAATTAGGGAGCATTATGACGTGGATTACAAGGTGTTTAGTTTAAAGAATAAGATCATCCATTACCTTATCACTTGTCATATTTTAGTTTGGTTTGAATAATAGCTTGGGTTGATCCATCACTACTTCATCCTCACAAGCACATTAGTAAGACAAAAGGGATAAACTCATGATAGACCATCTTATCTTGGATGACTTCATCCTGAGATAAAACACACCATTAGCTCGTCTGTCTTTCACAAGTGGGTACAGAAGTAGGTCAACTGTTACAAAGTGCGGATCAAATGAATATTTTGAGTGACAAAGCAATATATGAACAGTAGAACACAAAGACATGGTCTCAGGATGGATTGTTTTTTATGAACATGTGCTGTACAGGCTCTCTAACATGTACATCATTGTGATCCTCTGTAACACCCCAGGTGTTTGGCTTCCGCATTTGTACCTGCATTTCATGAACATGAGCATCATGCATCCATTCGTGAACTTATATCACATGAAACATGATTTCGAAACATTGCAACATGTTGTATATTTCATGTGTATTGTTTCTTTTATGAAATGTAAAGTGTGCAACACTTAAGTGCAACATGTGCCACTCAATTAGTGAAACAAGGTTAGTTAGTGCTATGCAACACACTCATGAAACATATGAAACATGGCCTTGAAACAAAGGCAACATTTCACTTGTTCTTCCATGTTTCAATGCCTGTGATGCTGGGTTCTTGTGTGACCAATGTATGGTGTGGCTAATTATTCTCTTAAGAACCTTAGTTATACTTAAGATGCCATTTGGAACATTGTTCATGTTGATCATTTTGCCTAATTAGGTTTCCCAGTCATGGTTGACCAATTTGGACCCATAGAGCTCCTGTGTTTGACTGTTTAAAAAGTGTAGCTTAGAATGTTTGCATGTCTGAGCAACCTAAAGCAAAGTTGTAGAGAATTAGATGTGGAACAAAAGTTCTTTTATGACCATCTCATGAAAATGTGCACAACATGCTAAAAAAGGACCCACAAGTCACTTTTGAGATCTATTAAGAAACTCTGAAATCTTTTAAGCGTTGTAACTGAGTTTCAGTTTCATGACCTCAACTTTGGCTTGATTTAACTCGTGATCCGTAGAGAGTTAGCTGTTGATTTCCAAATCAAATTTGTAGCCCTACTATAGATCTACAACTTTCATCTTTACGGATTTCACTTTTGAGCAACGAGTTAGCCGTGCCAACGCGACGAAGTTTCGCTGTCAGGCTGTTCACCGGCGCTGATGACGAGCTACAGTAGTATGACCGGTTCAGAGTTTCACCGCCGCGTGGCGCCGCGCGTCGCCGGCGTCCTGCCTGCGCAGGCCACGTCGGGCTGTCGCGCGCCAACACAAGCCCCAGCGTCCGCCCGTGTTTACCAGCGCTTCCATTTGCATTTCCTGCTCCTCCCTTCGCGTCCAGCAGCAGCACTGCGTCGACGCCATTGCCGGCTGCGTTGCTCCGCCGAGCTCGCGTGCGCTCGTTGCTGCGTCTCGCCTCGCACCACCCCGCCCAAAGCTCCGCTAGCACCTCACGGTCCTCGTCGACGTCTTCGCTAGGCCGTAAGAGCTCTAGGTGAGCGGCATTGCCGATTCCGCGCACCGCCACGCCATGGCCGCGCCGGTGGCCTCGCCGTGGCCAGCTCAACACCGCTCCTCTCTTCCTTCCCTAGCTACAGTATCGCCTTCTCCATCATGTGCTGATGCCTGGGTGAAGACGTCACCACCCCCGTCGGTCCAGCCAGGCCGGAACACGGCCGCGCGCCGCCGTGCGCCATGGCCGAGCCGCCGAGCTCCGTGGCCGGGGTACCTAGAGTCTGCTAGAGCTTAGGGTTAGTAGGTCATTTGACGCGGTAGGTCATGGCGAGCACGGAGGTACCCTCTGCGTCGCCGGTGAAGCCGCCGCCGGCGAGCTACGCCGTCTTCCGCGCCGTCGCAGCCGTGTCCCCTGCTTCGCTGTCGCTGACCGGTGGGTCCGGCTGACAGTCGGGTCCCACACGTCAGTGACCGCTTGTTTCTAAGGATAGCTCATTTATTCAGTTTTGGAATGCAGTTTGTGATTTTTGTATCTCCAAATTGGTAGATCCAAATGGTGTGAGACTAATTTTGGTAGAATCACAGTGAAGTTTAGTATTTAAGAAAAATATGCCTTGAGCACATTATGTAGAAATTTTGGATGAATTAAATAGGAACTTGAAAGGTGTTTTTGAATGCATGCAAACTTGTTTAAATCATATCTTGAGTTTCTGTGATCCAAAAATTATGAAATTTTGTGGGTGAGCTAGTATTGTATAGTAAAAGCTCTGGTTAAAATTTGAGAGTCATTGCATGTGTAGTTTTTGAGTTATAGATTTTCCTTTTATCATTGGTAGATACTTGGGTGAATTTTTGTAAATTATGTAGGAATCCTATGGCCATGAAACTTGGTAGGTAGTATCTTAGTACCTTAAGGATGCTAGAAAAAATAGGAAATCTGTTGCTTGACACTTTTCACTAAGGTTTTCTAATTATGCCATTTGAAGCCATTCTGCCTTACCATTTTTGTGTAGGTTGTTATACTTACTCAAATGGTGTGAAATTTTTATGGTAATCTACTTAGGGCATGTAGTGTCTACTGTAATTTTTGTAGATTTAATGGTGTAGTTTTCATATATGTTTACTATTTTCTTTAATTAATTAAATAAATTAAGAAATGTATTAAAATAAATGTTTTGGTGATGGACACCCTGCTTTATGGTGTTCTTGTGATATGTGTGATATGTCAGTAAAGTTGGTTTTGTCCAATTAAGTGTTTATATCATAAGTTAATAATTATTTGTTTGCATTATGTCCCTCTGGACAGATCTGGGGACTTTGGAAAGTTCCCCATGATAATTTGGTTTTCTGTGATTGTGATGAATACAAAAGTTGTAGATAATTTATGTATCAAGCTCCTGTCAAAATTTGAGGGCATTTGGCCCAGTAGTTTAGAAACTACAGCTGTTTAAAGTTAGGTTCCAGTTTTGCTTACTCTCTGCCTTGTGAGGATAGAATTCTGTTGATTTATGAATTCGAGCTGGTAAAGGTTTGAATCATGCTTTGAGGTTTGAAAATGAATTGTTGACAATTTCATAAGCTTTCCAGATTGTCTTGTTGCAAGTCATTTGGATTTATAAATCTCCAGTTATGGCTAGTTTACTGTACCGCTACATAGTCTTCATTCTGCTGAAATACAAATGCTTGAGTGTATGTTGTTGCAATGTTCTCGTTGATTGTTTAGGGGTTAGCCTAACTTGAGAATATGCTTAGGTGTAGGTGCTAGGTCATTAACTGAAGATGAGCAATTATATATTAGGTTGTATAAACTTGGTAAGTAAAGTGATTTGAATAGGGCTTAAGTTGGAATATGCAAACTACAGCGAACATGCGCATTCCCCGAGCATCCCTGATATTCGTTCATGTGCATCCATGATATTTATCTTGCGCATTCATGCAATAGGTGTGCCGGAGGGAGTGACATTGCTGGAGTTCGAGGGATCCAACCAGGAGGAGGAACCCGAGGTGCAGAAAGCCGACGAAGCAGTCGTCACGGAGGAATTGCCCGAGTGCCCTGACCACCAGCCTTCCTCGTTCCTGAAAGGCAAGCCCCGGAGCATATTAAGCCTCCCATATTTTTACAAATACTTTGAGTACCTTTTATTGTTGATGATGCATTAAGTATAGGAATTGGTTGGAATCAATTGCTGCATTATATATCCTTCCTTGTCCAGATATCGCACTGGAATCCTATTTAAGTTCAGGAACGGGTTAAATGCTTAGGCCCTGTTTGGTTGAGCTGTGGCTGTGGGAAAAAGCTGTTGTGAGCTGTGAGCTGTGGAAAAGCTGCTGTGGGTTGTGAGCTGTAGAAAAGCTGAAAGCTGTTTGGTTAAACAAGTATAAAATATACCTTTTATCTTTATCTCTCTTGAAACAACTATGGAAGAGCTTTTTATTCCACCAATTTCGAAAAGCAGAAAGCCAAAAGCCAAAAGCAGGGTCAACCTAGCTTTCAAAAATGAACTACAAAAAAGCAGCTGCTTCTGAAAAAGCACCCTCCAAAAGCAGCCCCTTTGGTTGGGCTTTTGGCTTTTGGGACCAAAAGCCAAAGGCAAAAGCCCAACCAAACAGGGCCTTAGCCATGCTTAGTGCAGTAGAAGTCAGGTGATTTCCTGTCACCTGCGAGCTTTAGGATGAGGTGGATCACGATTGGCTATATTTGCTATCGTGGAAAAGAACCATGTGAATAATGAATTAAGACCGGACGGGGTCTTGTGTATGTTTGAACATAGTGACTCCGTCTGAGTCGTTTAAGGACCGATACGCTGTACGTCCTCATGTCATGTTGAACGCAGCCTAACACTTAGCTGGCCGGATAAGTCGTTCGACCATGAAGCCTAGTAGCTCAACTCAGGCCGGGACGCGAGCAAAGGATGGCATTCTGGAGGTAGTAAGGATGCGGAGAGCCATTGGCATAAGTCCAAGGCGGGTTAGAGTCTCGAACAACCTTGGCGAGTGGTTCTCGAGAATGTCGATCCGATCGGACTCGCGACTCTGAATCGTACCAAAGGTGACTTGTTTGCGACTCGACGGAGAAGCGTGGTTTGTGTTTAGGAATACCCTCCAATTTGGATAGGAATCGATTTGAATCGCCGTCTCTCCCGGATAGTGAGAACTTGGTGAGCAAATGCGACAACGTAGATTCAATTAATTTAACGATATGGTTAAATGGATGATGATGATAAGGTTGCCACAATGAATACGATATGGTTATTAATGTTTGCACCCTAATAAAATGATTGCTTAGTACAAAGTGCTAATATAGTTGATAAAAGTTAATGGCTAAAAAGTCACTACTAGTTCAAAGTTAAGAGTTGATCATTATTACTTATGCTTTTCTCGCAAAAAGAAAGTGTCACCCGGATCCACTACATTAAGCTATGCATAATCCTTGGTGTCATTTATTTTGGTTTTCGTCGTCGGTAAGTCTAATGAGTATATCCCCGCACTCGTGGTTTATTCCCTCTTGTTGCGAGATGACCTTCTATATCAAGGATTACGTAGTATTGTCTCCACCCTGCTGGTGATGAAGACTAGATCATGGGCATGATCTCGTTATCTTATCTGAATGCTTTTTGCGGGTCGTGATCAGCGAACCAAGTATGTGTATTTGAACTCGGGTGTGTGAGTTAAACTATTTGCTTCCGCATGTTTTACAAGACTTGTTTTGTAATAACGATGACTCTGTGATGATGTAATCTATTTGCGAACGTCTACGAAATGTTGTAACGTACGATATGTTATGTTGAATTACTGTGATCTTGGTTGTATGCAAGTTGGTTTGAAATCCTTCGAGATTTCAGTTGACTACCGGGTTTATATGGACTCAAGTTCGAGAATTTGATCGTTCCGGCGATTGTTTTTGTACTTGTGCTCTTATAAATTGGTCGGTTCTATGACATCCTCTGTCACTTAATCACTTGCATTTGCCAAACCAACCATCTTCAGCATGTTCCGGTCCTCCTTGAATCTCTCGAGGACTGTCCCCTTGACTAGCTCCAGTTTTTCATCTTGTGCTCCTCTCATTTGTATACCCCAACATTCAATAACTTCTGGCCTGAACCTATTTGTCTTGGAAAGGGGAGGGCTGGTAAACGTGCTACAAGTAAATGAGTGCCCTTGATCGAAATTTGCAGATAAAAAGAGTCCAAAATGATGTGGCTGCCCTCCAAATCCAATACCATTGGGTATGTTCTCAGAGCTGAAGTTTATAGCACACTGCCAAAATAAGCTAATGATGTAAACTACCCTTTATATTCCGGAGAGGATTAGTAGTAACACAAACAGTGAAGAAAATTAAAACAAGGAGATATGTCATACATAGCAAAACATACCCATTGCAAATTCTTGTTTGCTCCAGTAGGGCAGAAAATGGATGCTTGAGGATATAATTTGAAGAGGAATGTCTTCATATCACCATAAAAATCACTGTGTCTTTCCCAAGGCTGTGATGCATATCCACCATAAATTGATCCTTCAGGATCTTTAACAATCAGAACAGTCTGAGCATCTCCATTCCTATAAAACAAGAAACATATCCAAGAAGGACATATATAGGTCGAAAATTATTCAGATGGAATGTATGCAGTGATAGGGCAAGCATAAGGACTCTCTTGAATCATGAGGATAGGTTGTAAAATTGTCATGTCTGTGCCCATTATTAGCAATGACAATTGGCATCAATATGGCCGCTGAGCAGACAAAGAAAAGTAATTGAAATCATATCATGAGAATGGAACTTAGTTTCATTATGCCATTTCCATATATAATAACACATCTTTATAATTATGAATAAAGTTTAAAAAATGTGGCTTTCACACCAGCAGATCTACAAAATTGAAGAGTACTCACGTTACTTTGCCTAAGAAAGTGTTGAAGCTTTGTCCATGAAGAGAACTGTGATATAAAAGCTTCCACTCTTGCACCTCATGTTGGGAAAAGCCTCCTCCAATATGCCAGGCATACTCTTTATTTAGAAGCAGCAAATCAGTGGAGATGTTTTCAGGATAATGAAGCAGTGGTACTTCAAACCCTGGTCTACCTACAAATGAAATAAAGTCAGCAAAAGCATGACATGATATATCATGTACGTTATATTTCATTTAAACTGCTCAAATGATAATAAACATGCTAGATGTATAAGCGTACAACTAAAGACAGAATGTGCAGAACCAATTGAAATTGCTTCAGAATGAATAGGCAAGAGTGAAATGACACAAGTGACAAATGCTGGCACTCATGCAGCACAAGCACCATATCTAGGAAATGTCCTAATAACTGAATCTAGGAAACGTGTAAAAAACACTAAGCCAAACAACATATTAGTTCTAATTGGTGTCCTGTTGTGGAATCTAGTAAGAAAATACCAAATTCACTACAATTAGCACATTTACTTAATTGATTTGTATACTAAATTACATTATTTATGACTTAATCAGACATATTGGCATCTTCCTAAAACTCAGCAAAACATATGTCTGTATCTGCCATTAATCCAGGCATAAAAGTATGGTTGAGAATGAGGCATGCTTGAGAAAGAGGACTCAAAATTTTGTAGGAGGCGAAAACAGTATGCCTCAAGACTATTTGGTTTGATATGGTTTTGAGACTTAGAAAGCAATGGTTCCATAATATAACTTCTACCTCTACTACTGGTAGAAGTTTTAGAAAATAGTATAATCTTCAATTGTATGTCTTTGTATTTTTCACATAGTTATGTGCATGACAAACTTCTTAGTTGTAAGATTGCATCTACATCCTTTTGTACAGGCTTATAAGCTTTTCCTAACACTCCAGCTATAGAGTAAGTGCATAAACTTTTTTGAGAGAATAGTGCAAAACTTCACTCGGATATCATGGTGTGAATTCCTAGATGTGAAGACTAATGAGGAACGACCTGACGAAAAATATCAGCCCAACTCCTACAATATCAGATGGGTCTGATAATTTTGTTTCAAAAATGATGGAAATGCTGCTTAGGAATACTAACAGAATGGCAAGAATAAGACAGACCTGAATCAGGGGGCATCAACAAATTTCCAAGGAACTTCCTCAATGATGGCAACAGAATGCACAGGTTCCTAAAGTCTTATAATGACATAGACTTCTCTGAGACCCCTTCAGCATCCTTTGAAAATACTGCAGAGCTGAGGAATGCTTCAAATGGCCTGCTGTCGGAACCTTCGCCAACTTCCTTCTTTGCTGCAAATACAGTTTCATGAACGGATGCCAACACAGATTCCAAATCAGACCTGGCAGTGCACGTGAGGGGTAGATGCAAGAGTAAATACCAATTAATGCCTAAAAGCCTGAATAAAAAAATCCCAAACAAACAATAAATCATAAGCTTTGTTAACACAAAGTATGAATTTTTCTAAATGCAAACAAATTCATTATATCACCCAGCGAAAGAATTACCTAAAACATGACACCGGAATGCATAAGGCCCAATGGTAACCAGAAACCCCTACCCTTCATTCATATCACTTGCGCTTTTTGATGTCTTTGTTCGAGGTAATTTTCAAATTTGAAGCATTCAACTACTGAAACAGCTTAGCAAAGGACATGATTCACACATGACACACCAATGTATCAGAAGAAAATAATTTCTCTCGAGCAATACCTTGTTAAGGCACCATCTCCTGTGACATCACACAGTTGATAAATGAATTCATCAACCTCATCTCGAGTTCCCCTTCCATATGTTGCCTACATGCAACAAAGAAAAGAGTGTCAAACTATAGAATACATACAAAGTACTACTCCCTCTGTCCTATAATATAGTGCATTCTAGAATTTTTAGGACAAATTAAGAGAGAACACAAAAGACGCATGCGTCCTCACTTTATTTCCTAATAAGACGCTATCATCAACACGATTAGTGGTGATTGGTAGATAAATGGAAAGTATGTAATGCAAAACTGGTTTCTATCTTCTAAAATGCCTTATATTTGAGGACAAATTTTGAATGCTAGAATACGCTATATTACAGGACGGAGGGAGTACATACAAAATCTTAAAAGCTCACAGTGAAGCATCTCATTGGATGAAAGTACTAGTTGTATAGGCATTCTTATCAGAAAACTCAACAGCCCAAGCCTAATCTACTGAGCAATATTGCACCCATGTGACCATGTCTCGATCTTAACTTCGATCAATTCCACCAGATACCAACACATCACTATACCCTCGCTCGCGACAACTAAACGAACAACAGAGTGGATCGAATTGAGTCGAGCACTAACTTTGGAGATGATCAAATCCTCGAACGTGACCCCATCGCTCCCGCCACTCTCCTTCACCACCAGATGGAACAGCCTGTCGCCTAATGGCCCCCGCACCCCATAGTATTCCTGCGCAAATAGAGCCAAAGCCGTTAGAAATCGTAATCCAGATCCAGCCAGATCCAGGCCCAATTCAAAGGAGCGAATGCGCGTGCGGTGCTCACGGGGAAGACGGGGCGTGAGATGGCGCGGCCGCTGGTCTGCGACTGCGCTGCGAGGGAGGTGAATAAGCCGCGGAGGCCGTCCAGCTCCTGCTTCGAGAAGGCCCTGCGACGAAGCGAGCCGGTGGTGAGATCACCAGACAAGGTTTGCGAATAGCCGCAGCGATGGAGGTGGCAGGCAGCTGGTAGTGGGGTAGTACCTCGACGCCATGACGAAGCGGGAGCTGGAGGCGGACGCCGGCGAAGCCTGCGAATTGCCCATCGCCGCCGGCGGAGGCGGGGTCACGGCTTGTCGGCGACGGCGAGCGCGCTCAGTCTGGCTCAGCAACTGCCAATTGAACTCTCTGCGATTTTTTTATTTTTTCCTTTTTTTTGGAGCGATTTTATTTATTCTTTTCCGTTTGACGTTGGACGACGGCCCCTCGCGCCACCAAGGGACGCCTTCACTTGATGGGCTTTTCGCTTTCTCGCTTTTCACCTTTTAAAACATGGAGGCCCATGTGCTGGCAGCCCACTCCAAATAGTTACGGCGGCCGATATTTTAATATTTTATTTGTTTCTTTCAAATATTATATTTTTTCTCAATTACGCATGAGCTCTGTGTATCATTTCATTTAAGAAGAAAAAGAGTTTATGTTACAAAGGACACCGGCCATGCCAACTATATTTCATCTGCGAAGAAATGCATATATTTTTTACCACTACTACAGGAATAGTTTTATGAGGCAGTCAAAAACCATTTTCCCAAGCGGGCATTGCACCCGCCTCGTGTAAAACGCCTGTGTTAACCGAGATTAATACCGGCGGCCAAAATACCCGACTACGAAAACAAGATTAACGAAGGCGGCCGATTGCCGGTCTGCGTAAATAATTTTAGAAAAATTAAAAAAGCTCGCCAGTGAGCCCGTATTCGAGCTCATCAACGAGCCCGCCCGTAGCCCGTCGTCGTAGCTCCAACTAAAAGCTCTAGTTTGTTTTTGTGAATTGATAAAAACCCTAAGTGTTAACCTAGTTTATCAAAGTGATTATGAGATAGGTAGCAATACTCCAAGTGGTGAAGCAATAGTGATCATGACATAATGATGGTGATGGCATGGTGATGATCAAATGCTTGAACTTAAAAAAAAGGAGAAAGAAAAACAAAAAGCTCAAGGCAAAGTTAAAACTTGATACGAGCTTTTCGTTCTAGTGATCGAGACACTTAGTGAGTGTGATCACATTTAGGATCGATAGTCATACTATTAAGAGGGGTGAAACTTGTATTAAAATACGGTTATCAAAGTACCACTAGATGCTCTAACTCATTGCATATGCATTTAGAATCTAGTGGAGTGCTAACACCCTTGAAAACATTTGTGAAAATATGCCAACACACATGCACAAAGGTGATACACATTGTGTTTAGCACTTGGGAGCAAGGGTTCGAAACTTTACCGGCGGAGTGTTCGCCCGTAGAGTGCGGACAGTCCGACGGTGCCACCGGCTCCCTGTACAGAAAAGACAGGATTTCACAGAGTGCACCGAACGCTAGTCACGCAGTGACCGGACGCTGGAGTCCTACGTCCGGTCAGTGGCGCACGGTGAAGGCCGCCCTCAGTCCCTTGACCGGACGCAGGCGACCAGACTCTGACTGAACACTATTCAACGTTCGGTCATGCTAATGTGGCGGTGCACAGAGTAGACGATGAGTGACCGGACGCTGGGTGAGTCCGGTCGGGCATGACCGGACGCATCCGATCGTGAGTGAAACCTTACTGAAAACGACTGGACGCTGGTGATGGTGCGTTCGGCCACTTCGAGCAGCGCGTCTGGTCACAACTTAAGTGCACTAATGACCATTAAGATCAGACGATCAACATTTGAAGCAGGGGCCATGTGGCGTGCATCGTGCGACCGGACGCTGGGGTCCTACGTCTGGTCGATCTGACCGGCGCGTCTGGTCGCCCTGTTTTTTCAGTGAACAGAGAGCCAACGGCTCTATTCGTGGGGGCTCTCTATTTAAGCCCCATGGCTAGCTCAAGCCCACTCTTTTGGCCATTTGGATTGACATAGCAACCTTGTGAGCTTAGCCAAAGCCCTCCCACTCATCTCCATCATTAATTTATCATCTTTGTAAGATTAGGAGAGAATCCAAGTGCATTGCTTGAGTGATTGCATCTAGAGGCACTTGGTGTTCGTGTTTCGCTATGGGATTCGCTTGTTGCTCTTGGTGGTTGCTGCCACCTAGACGGCTTGGAGCAACGAAGGAGGATTGGCATGAGTTGGTGATTGTTCATGACCATCTCCCGATGATTGTGAGGGGTCTTATGCCTTCCTCGGCGGAGCGCCGAAAGGTAACTCTAGTGGATTGCTCGTGTCATTGAGTTACCTCACTTGTGGGTAGGTTCTTGCGGTGTCCAATTGTATGGACGAGGTTCGTGCAACACCTCTTAGCCATCGAACCACCAAGTGTTGGTCGACACAACGGGGACTAGCATGCCGGCAAGCACGTGAATCTCGGAAAAAAATTGGTTGTCTCTTGCCCTTTGGTATTCTCTCGGTGATTAAGTTAGTATTCATCTTGTGATTGGTTCACTTCTCTACACGGCGGTATAATCACCTCACATACTCATTTATATTCCCGCAAACTAGTTGTAGCAAGCTCTTTAGTGTAACTAGAATTGAGAGCTTGCTTTGTAGCTTAAGTTCATCTAGTGGAGCTCTTTAGTGTAGCAAGTGTGAGAGCTCTTAGTGAGTAGTGACTTAGTAAATTCTGTGTCTAGTAATCATAGTATCTAGAATTATTAGATAGGTGGCTTGTAACCCTTGTAGAGCTAGAGCAAGTTTGCTTTTCGCTATTTGTTATACTAATCAAATTGGTCTAGTTGGTTTGTAGATTTTTAAATAGGCTATTCACCCCCTCTAGCCATATTAGGACCTTTCACCGACCGTCGTCAGATCTGCATGGGCGCCGCCGGGAGGATCCTCACGCCTCCATATCTATCCGTGGACAAGGCCGTTGAGCCCATGCACACATTGCTGCCACCGCTCACTAGATCTACGCATCGTCATTGTCGCTGTCATCGTCGCTAGATCCGGTCGCATCCACGCCATGTGCATCGGAGAAGGGCCCCGCGTGGCCAGAGAGGGACTGGACCCTGTGCGCACCGAAGAAAGGGATCCCTTACGTGGTGCCTCCACCGGGTCCCATCATGTCGGGCCACCGCTAGGGTCACGATGTGCCTGCTAGTGGGCCCTCTGAGGGCGGCCTATCCGCTCGCTTGCCGCCTCCAGTGCTCGGCTCCTGGCCCAGCCAAGTGCGGTGCGCGACCGCCTCTAAGGCGCAACTCTCGGCCGCCGACCCTACTTGGCCACTGCGGCGCACCGCCCCAGCCATCCCCCACAGCGCCTCCATCCCCCATCGCGCCAAGCCCATCCTCCGTCGCGCCCATGTGCGCTGGCCTAGGCCACGGAGCAGGTGCTCGCGCACCTCACATAGGTGTTCACGTAGGCCGTCGAGCAGGTCCTCGCCTAGATGCACACCGGCAAGCTCGATGCGCCGCAGCGACGTTGAGCTCCGTGATTCGTTCAAGCAGCAATGTGACATTACGCGCTGGAAACACATGTTGCAAGAGTAAGTTTTAAGTGTTTCACATGTTTCATCTGGATATTGCAATTATTTCATATGGATGTTGCAGAAGTAGATCGGGATGTTGCATATGTTGCAATGGTTGTACACGTATCTTGCAAGCTTTTGTTCCTAATGTTTTAGTTGTTTTTTAGACGTATGTTGCAAGTGTGTTTATTTAATGTTGCATGTGTTTTATCTGGATGTTGTATATATTTTGCAATGGCTTGTTTAAGCATTTTCAAGTGTTTTACAAGTGTTTCAGACATATGTAGCAAGTGTTTTAACTATTTTTGAACGTATGTTGCAAATGTTTCATTTGAATGTTTCAAAAGTAGATCTGTTGTTGCATCTTCCTCCTACTGCCTCGTCTTGGTGTCTCCTACTCTTCTTGATGCTAGTAATGTTTGGGTGACGTGAGTGGGGTGAGTCATTCGAGTGGCGTAGAATCCAGGCAGATCGGGCATGCGGAATGGACCAGGCGTGAGACGTGGGGATCGGTGTCCGGACACGAGTCTCGCACCGAACGTCTGGACGGTAGTCGTTTAGATCTTCTAAAGTAGAAGGATTGATCTATGTGTTTGGAGCACAAATATTCCCGATTCTAACTCGTTACGGATTTGAGCCAGCTGATGCCTATCGATCGTGTTTGTGCTCGTTCCCGTTTCGACTAGTCCGTGAAAGGACAAGGGATGTCTGCCCTCCACAGGGACCTGGAAACAGACGCAGAGATGACACCGGTTGAAACTCGATGTTGTCGCCGAACGGGGGGGGGGGGTGTTACGGTTCGAGCGTCGGACAGTAACACGGCGTCGATGATTTCCCGCCCACCGTAACCCCTTCCCACCCCGCGCTGCCACCGATGATTCCGCGCCCGCACAGGTAGAGAGCGCTCCCGCAGGCTGTGGCCCATCGCATAGGGCCCACCACACCCACACCGCATGCAGAAATTTTCAATTGAATTAAAAAATCATAACTTCTAAACTAAGCATCCAAATTAAATTCCGATTACACCGCCGAGTTTCTTGTAATAAATCCTTCAAAACAAGATCCCATATGGATATATTTAGATAAAATTTTATTAATGAATATTTATCTTATAAACATAGAACATTTTCTTTTATTAAGTAGAGACAATATTTTAGGTTTAGAGAACAATGTTCCGTCTTCGTAAGAAAAATGTTCTCAATTTAGAAGAACAACATTTTAGTTTTAGATTCATGAAATTAGTATTATAATATTGTCGGGTTCACGAACCCGGGGTCCCTCGAGGACCGGCTTCAACGCCAAGAGTCCAAAAACAATAGGCCGGATGGGCGGCCCAGCCACCGACCGGAGGCTCTGTCCGAAGAGAAACGGCGCCCGTTCGACCGCCACCTCGGTCCGTCTATCCGACCGGAGCACCCGCTTCAGACTCCAGTCGCCTCCGAACGACCTCTCCGATCGGAAAGCCTGGCCCAAATGCTACTTCTGACTCCAACCCCGCGTCTCGGACCGGGGATCACAGAAACCCTGCTCACCGCTCTTCTCCGACCGGCACAGAGCCGACTGGAGCCATCCGACCGGGGACACCCACTCGGAAGGAACCAGGAGACAAATAGAGAGAGCAAGACAGGGCGCACAAGTCAAACTACAATACCGGGACCATACCCTAG